AATAAGCAATTAAGAAAATAATTCTATTTCAGCTTTATAAGAAAAAGAATTTTAACAAATAACAAAAGGCACATCAGATCAACACTTAAAACAGCAACAACTAAAATGCATAGCACATTTAACAAAATAATCAAGATATTGACTTTTCACACTAACTTAAACAAAAGATTAGGAAGGAAATCCCTACCAGTACTAAAAAGAGCAACAACAGTGAATCTGAGAAGTTTATTCTCAGATTCATTAAAAGAAACATTTTATAAATTTCAAGCTAAAAGTAATGCTAGTTATGATTGAGGGTTTAAATGTAGTGGCTTTGTTCAAAATGGTGATCATACCAGATTATGCAATCATTCTCTGAAACTAAGGTCCATTAGCACAGTTGTAGTATAAACCATGACTGGGCTCTTTGGTGGGAAAATCTTAACTGTAAACTAGCAGACTGCCATAATCAGACACAATCATCCAGTCATTACACATACCATTTTTTGTGTAGTAGGTTCATTTTGTTTAGCAACATATCAATCTCTACAGGTTATTTAATGCCTTCAGCTTAAACAAATTTCCAGGAAAATAGATTTCTTAAGTCCATTAGCTGTTACAGCTCTTTCTAGTACTGATGGGAGTTTCCTTCCTAACTTTTTATTTGAAGTAGTATGGAATGTTAACATCTTGATCATGCCATTAGTATCTCTTCAAATTACATATGCTAGCCATTTTAGTTTTTGCTGGTGTTAAGTTGCTAAATGGCTCAAGTGTGTATTTGCTACCCAGCACAAGTATTGAACTGATAGCTTTCAACTAATGTGAATTTGTGCTTTAATAAATTTACCTGTTCCACCTGCAGTTGAAACGGGTTCTGTCCATGGAGTTCTATATAAACCTATGGTTTTGTCCTGCTGGGGATAGCTATAAATATATAACTATATACCTATAATAAGGTGGTGTAATGATGAGACAGAACCTGGGACGAGCACAACTGGTTGCAACTTGCCTTGTCCTCACCAAAAAAGAGCCCGTATTTTCTTAGCATGTAAAGCTAATGCAGTTGAAATGAGGGAGAAAAAAGCACTTACTGCTCTGCCGTAATCCGTCTTCAGCCAGATAACGTAAAAGAATGAGGGGGGACTTGTATTGCATTTTTATGCAATAAAGATGCAATGCATTATGGGACAGGGCCACAATGAATTATGGGATCGCATGAAGACGCAAGGGATTATGGGTATATGGACAAATATAAAAGCAACTAATTTTTCCCAGTGTGGGGTGCTTTGAGTGACGTTCCCAGATGGCGGCTAGAAAAGTCTGTTAGTGCGATTTTGAGACAGAACTCAAGAAGGAATGACTCGAGGTTGGAATACCAGTTGGGAGAGCTTGAATTTACTCGCTGGTTGCTGTTTTCTTTTTATTCGCCACATGGCTATTTAGCAAGCTTGTCTCACTAGAACAATTACGAATGAATAGTGAGTTCAATCCTCACTGGGTGCCCCTTACTTTCAGCCTTGTGCTACATCCAAGCTATGTTTGGTAAATTACTATCTATAAATCTGTTTGCCTCGTGAAGTTAGATTAGATTAATATTGGTGGCAGAAGTGTAGTTACAACCTGAGTTATGAGCCCAGCATGCTTCCAGTTCAATACTTGTGCTAGGTAGCAAATACATGCCTGAGCCAATCAACAACTTAACAGTTGGTAGTCCTCAAGTGTTGTGGCTTCTGTTATTTGATACAGTTCTTTGTGAATCTGTGGTGGCAGTCAACAATGTTCAAAGGATGATAATCTTTGCCAAGACTTTCAGGCTTGCCATTTTAGAATCACACCAATGACATACTTTTAGAATTTGCCCTTGTTACTATGTACACAATTATTAGAGCAAGTGAAAGTTTTGATATATTTATTTAAAAATAAAATCCTACTTATATCATGGCAGACATATTCCCTTAATAATCTATGAAAAAAACAGAAATTATGATTACAGCAAATGAGTGGAGCATGGGTTAATTCTAAGTGCCCTTGGAATTTATAAATTAAACATTTTTTGAATATTTTGTGTCAAATTGCAGTTTACCAATCTTATAATTAAGAGGGGGGGCACAGCATCAGCTTTAATTTTCTAGAAATTTTTGTAACTCAATCCTTCCTTGAGAAAAACCAATTTTTCCTTTATTCTGTTAGTTCTACACACCTGTCGTTGTAAAAAAAAAAAAAAAAAAAAAGGAGGAATTTTATTACCTCAAAATTTTTTTAAATAATCCAACAATCAATGGATTCATTTTCTACAGATTTTCAACCCCTTGCAGGTTATTTAAAAACAAAAATATTTTAAGATTGTAACAATTTTTTGGTAGATAAGGATTTAATGATACAAATTTAGCTAATTAACCCTTAGCTGGTGGAAGATGAGATGGATTCATACCTTTCCAATTGTTATACGCATGTAAATGAATATAACAAACCAAACGGGAATTGGATTTCAGCTCTCCAATTAACAATTTTGAACCATTATCCATTACACCACACACAAGCTTACAGTACCTGGTATTCTCAAGCAGTCACCCATCTAGGTACTGATCAGGCTTGACATTGCTTAACTTTAGTAATTGTATGTGAGCCACTTCACATTGAAACACCTGTTCACATATGATTCAAGGAGAAAGTTGATGCAGAATTTCCCAGTATTTACTCAGCACTTTATTGCTTGTGCAATAAGTCAACTGCATATCAGTCTTATGAAAAACTGAAAGGATAAGCAAATAGATTTTATGCAAAGTTACAGAGATCATTGATTATAGAAAGGTCTTCAGCAAATGAAAGCTGTCAGTCTTAAAGAAGATCATCCTTCTTTGAACATTGTGGACTTATGCTACAGAATCACAACCAAAGAACTATACCAAATAAGAGAAACTATATTCTTGAGGACTTTCAACAACAGCAACAACTCAAAGAGAAAATAATGTCATAATCAAGATGCTCATATTCCACAGGATTACAACCAAAAAGGTTACAAAGGAAATCCTCATCAATACAACAAAAAGCAATAACATTTAGTGGTTATTAGAAATCTATTTTCTTGAAAAATTGTTTTGCTAGACAGATTTTATAAATAACAACCAAAAGTAGCACTGGCTGCTCGGTCAATGAATGCCGAATGTTTAATTATAAGGAAACGGCTAATATTACCATTAGAGATGAGGAGAACAGATACTACACTTTGATCCCATCCCCGATGGCCAGGGAGTGAAGAAAAGCGTAAAGAGTAGCACTGGCTGCTCGGTTAATGAATGCCGAATGTTTCATTATAAGGAAACGGCTAATATTACCATTAGAGATGAGGAGAACAGATACTACACTTTGATCCCAGCCCGATGGCCAGGGAGTGAAGAAAAGCGTAACGAGTAGCACTGGCTGCTCGGTCAATGAATGCCGAATGTTTCATTATAAGGAAACGGCTAATATTACCATTAGAAATGAGGAGAACAGATACTACACTTTTGATCCCATCCCGATGGCCAGGGAGTGAAGAAAAGCGTAACGAGTAGCACTGGCTGCTCGGTCAATGAATGCCGAATGTTTCATTATAAGGAAACGGCTAATATTTTGTCATTAGAGATGAGGAGAACAGATACTACACTTTGATCCCAGCCCGATGGCCAGGGGTGAAAGAAAAGCGTAAAGAGTAGCACTGGCTGCTCGGTCAATGAATGCCGAATGTTTCATTATAAATTTGGCGAAATATTACCATTAGAAATGAGGAGAACAGATACTACACTTTGATCCCAGCCCGATGGCCAGGGGAGTGAAGAAAAGCGTAAAAAGAGTAGCACTGGCTGCTCGGTCAATGAATGCCGAATGTTTCATTATAAGGAAACGGCTAATATTACCATTAGAGATGAGGAGAACAGATACTACACTTTGATCCCAACCCGATGGCCAGGGGAGTGAAGAAAAGCGTAAAAGTAGCACTGGCTGCTTTCGGTCAATGAATACCGAATTTTTCATTATAAAGGAACTTTAATCTATATTACCATTAGAGATGAGGAGAACAGATATTACATTTTGATCCCAGACCAATATAGGTATGAATTAGTTCTTTTTGGGTTTTTTAATCATTTCATCTCAAGCAAGTTGATAATGCCACTAAGACACGATGGGTTCCTGTGAGCGAGTAGAATTAGATTTTAGCAAAAACTGGAAACCCAATCCTAAACAGAAAACAAGGGATAAACGTTTAAAATGGGAAGGAGTGTGAACCTGATGAAAGGTGAGCTTATAAAAATATTACGCTGCTTTATGACTGCAATATTATGTTGAGTTATAAATTGTTTCCATTTTTGTTTATTAGTCTTAATAAATAAATAAAAATAAAGCACAATAATATTTTATTCAATTACTAACTCAAAAGCCACACTATTGGGCGTCATTTAAGCTAGATCCTGCGAAGGTCTCTTGATTGTGCCTTCATCACAATAGGGAGAGGAGTAGATGTGATAGGCAACAATAAACTACAGAAGAACTCAAAACTGATTGCTCCATTTAAGTATTGCATTAATATTTAAGCTTACCTTTTAAAAGTTCAATAATTCTTTTGTCACCGATTAATTTGACATACGTAGATCCTTACTTTCCATACAAACAATTATTTTTATTTCATGGATGATCTTTGTTGGATTTTGCAATCAATTTCAATTATTCCGGAATTTATTTCCAAGTTATAAAAATTGTTACCATACAATTATATATATATAAAACCAAAAACAATTGCAGTAATGAAAACTTGGGAATCCAAAATTTAAGGATTGTGAGCCAGATCCCAACCAAATTGTTTTTAATTTGCTCATGGAGTCGGCTCAATTCCATATGTTAGGCTATAGCCTCTATGAAAAAATTGAAAACAGACAATTTTATTTTGGAACACTAATTTGAGAACAGTAATTTTTTTCATTTGAACATGAACTATTGAAAATTAGAGAGTTGTGTACCTTTAATTGTTTTTATTTATGCTTACGGTTAAATCATGCTGAAACACGGTTCTCATTCCTCACCAAAGTTAAGCATCGTGTCAGAGCCAGGTCAGTACTTAGATGGGGGACCGCTTGGGAACACCTGGTACTGTAAGCCCCCAAAGTCCAACCCTTACCTCACAGTCGGTGTGTGTGGGGGGGGGGGTTAAACGGTAGTGTCAGAGCTATGCCGACCAGGAACTTCGTTCCTGGTAGATATGACCTATACAAATAGGTCTGACACACCACGCCGAACAACAAGGGCTCTGGTGAAAATCCAAGGAGGCGTCTGCATCGGTAACCGGCGGCTTGGTCGTTCCTGTCTCTGGGTCTGTGGGAACCCCGAGGCAAGCAAGAACGTTATCCGAGTAGGCCTGGGTACCCTACTTCTGTAATTTATCCCAAGAATCTTCTTCTCATAACAGGAAGAAGCCGGCTCAATCCGCCCAGGGTGAATGCCGCATCAGTCAGTACAGTAATTGTTTTTATTAGTAGAAGTCAAGAATTGCTTGAATATGGTTTTTTATAAGAGAAAATTTCCCCATCAAAACACTTTGCAGTGACTGAAAAAGGTTATAATCGTTTGAGCAAGTTCAAGTGTGTATTGCAGATGAAGTAGAACAGACCAACCAAGTTCCAAAATTATTTCCTGTGTTGTTCTTATTGTATATGACTTTTGTGACATGATAACTAGGCATATATTAAGGTGGATTTGTAAAATATGTATTTTATTTTAATAAATTAAGAATAGAAAAAGGTTAAGAATAGAAAAATAGTTTAAAAACATGTGTTTCGTTTAACAAAAGTACTAAGTGAAAAAAAAAAAAATAAATAAATTTTTTTTTTTATAAGTAAATTTTATGGAAGAAAAAAAAGGCATCAGATTACTGTTAAATCCTACCAGTCTTCCAATAAAATATTTGACTAAGTGATTTGATGTGATAAAAGATAAACGTTTTTTTTTGTTTTATAGATTTTAGATGACCAGGTCAAAACTGTCTTTACTGTATCTCGACAACACATTAAGGAAATAAAGAAAAGAAAATAAAATTTTCCCTTTCTCCAGGCAATAAAAAAGAAAAGGGCTAAAAAACATCCGACGGCCTTCACAATTTAAGATTTGTTAAGATAAAAATAAAAAAAAAATCCTGGAAAATACATCGTTGGAGGCCTTAAAATCTAGACGGATGTTTACACATCAAAATGAAGCAAAATTTAAGTACCTTGAAATTTTGAACTTATAGTCGCCAATGCTTATCTTTTTTGTTTTCACCCGGTGGTCTAGTGGACTTCCGAATTATTTCAATATAAATAACAAGTGATTTTTCGAAAAAAAGCAGTTCAGCCTAATGTATGCTTATAGTAGCTACGTTTGTCAGGCACACTGAAAAAGTGAAACTCTGTTCGTCTGAGTTGGTTGGTCCGGCATTTGATCTCCATTAGTTAGAGTTAGAGCTGAGTGTCACATCGCCTACCCCAATGGCAAGACTAAGTCTGAACGAAATAAAGCATTGATTAAACTCATCTAAGTTGTGGAAGTTCATTCCTTCAAGGGTTTATCTTGTGCCCCCAGCTTGAGACTTTGACTTTTTCAACCAACCCCCGGTAACATCACAGCATGGAGAACGGCTGCCAGAGAAATTGCTCGGAGCTCACAAGGGGTGTTATATTTTGCACAGTCATGGAGGAACAATATTTTTCCTATTGACAAGCACAGGACACTTTTCAACCAAGTTTTTATGGACATGTTGAATACTGGACATATAAATGTACATTTAGTGTTTCAATGTATTTTAAGAACTCTGAATGAAGAACATGCCAATGATCCTACCATATAAAAAAATTACCATTCTTCTGTGGAGCTCAGTGTTGATCTAATCTGATATAACATCACCAGGCAAATAGATTGATAGGCATTTACCAGGGTACCCACCTTGCAACTGGATATAACACAAGGTCAAGTTTTAAAGTGGTTTTAATTGCCATACTTTGGGGTACCCCAGATAATAAACCCAGTCCTCTCCCAAGGAAGAGATGGCACCCTGAGGCTTGGGCTTAACAGAAGAATACCAACCCCAGCCAAAGGCAAATAGATTGACATGTCCCCCAGTGGAAAACCGATAAGTTTATCTAGAACTCAATGGACAGAATCCATTTCAACTGCCGGTGGAACAGGTCAACTTATTAAAAGACAAGTTTACATTATCTGAACGCTATCAGTTCAATACTTGTGCTGGGTAGTAAATATATATTTGAGCTATTTAACAACTTAACATTCAGCTTTTTGGAAGGTCGGTGTAAAGATTTATCCTTTTGTGTTGAACATTGTCATGTGTTAATACTCTCAGAATATATTAACTGATGCATATGATTAATAGTTAGAAGGACACATTTGTCAGTACAATTGGTTCAGTAAATGGATGTTACTTATGACTAAACCTAATAGTTATGTATTTCTCACCTGCATATGAGATTCAATTGCAAGCTTAGATGAAAATTAAAATGCTAATTTACAAGGCTGAAAAACTCTTCAGTTTTTAAATGTGGCACAATATAATCTTCTGTTACTTTTTATCTTACCATCAGTTCAGTTATGTGCTATGTGTGATACATGCTTAAGCGATCATGTATCTTTCGATACTTGACCGACGAGGCAGATTTTGATCCCACAGTAGGTTGCCATTTCTTTCTGCAGTAGACCAGTTGCCATCCAAGGCTATAGAACCCAGTCTGTTCTGCTATTTACCCATAGCTTGAAGAGGATTTATACCTTTCCCAAGGGTATTAGCACACAAGTGAATATAATGGATTTGACTGGAATTAGAACTCTGCTCTCTGATTCCTCAATCCTAGTCGCTATCCATTCAGTCAGTTATGTGCCATACGTGATACATGCTTAGGCTATCATGTATCTTTTGATACATGACTGACAAGGCAGATTTTGTTCCCGCAGTAGGTTGCCATTTTTTTCTGCGGTAGACCAGATGCTATCCAAGGTTATAGAACCTGGTCTGTTCTGCTATTTACCCATAGCTAGGGGGAGAAGAGGATTCATACCTTTCCCAAGGGTATTAGCACATAAGTGAACGTAATGAATTTGACTGGAATTCAAACTCGGCTCTCCGATTCCCCAATCCGAGCTGCTATCCATTACTCCACCTGTCTCCCCCAACCCTATTTACTCTTAATCACCTATTCTAGTGTGTCATAAAACTATTTGTTCAACTTTGCCACATAGCACTTTAATCGTCAAGCACCTAGTTGGAAAATTAACTTAAAATGTTTTACCAACTGCACAATAATTCTAATATACTGAAGGTATACATTTATTTGATATGCAGATATTGTGCACCAGAATGCTTCCTCAGTGATGTCTATTCTTGGGTTTGTGAAAGTTACAGTTTTTCTTCTGGCTATTGGTGTTTTTTTGGCCAATCAGAAGGGTGGATTCCATTTTGCCCTTATCCATTATTCGAAGTACTCATTCAGAATGGTGGTTATTGTTTTTAGCCAACAAGAAACAGTTTTCATATTATTCATCATGGTTTCATTTCTACAACAAGCATTTTGGAGATTTGATTTCTATAATTGTGACAGGTCCTTTCACATTATTCGAAGGAGACAAATGAATTTCCCTGAGGCCTGTGCTCAAAGTTTTATGGTAAAAAAAGGTTATGTGCATTACTGACTTTAAACCAGTAGCTTATATATGGCTCAAAGAGGTAAGACATTGGTAGTAATGTCCCATTAAGACAAGTGGATTTTTCACCCCTCCCCCTTAAGAAAAATCAACATTGCACTCAGTATGAAAGCTGTGGAGTTTGATGTCATAAGTACTGATACCGAAAATTAGATTTATAGCTTTTACCAATTTTTGAACATTTAGTTTTAAATATTGTCTTAACAAAATGCCCTAATGTCCCATAGTTGTAGGATTTTTCTGTTGGGGTGTCCTTCTTCTCAGTATAAGATGGAGCCAAATATAAGGATCTGCTACTACTTGAAATAATTATTCCAGTATTAATATAGGGACCTCCATGAAAACATAATGATTAAAATAAATTTTTAATAAGAAAAAATATTTCTTGGAGTTTTTATTTTAGTTTTAATTTCAAGCTGAAAGATTAAATTTAATATTTCCAATCAGCAAAATACTAATTTAAATTGATTGGAAGAAAATGTTTTTGAAATTTCTAAAATTTTTGATTTTGGTGACATTTTTAGCAAAATATTATAAAATGTAAGTCTCTTTATTAAAAAATCTTCACAAAATATAATATACTTTTCTGAAACTTTATTTGAGGAATATTAGCAGATTTAAAGTATAATTAATCTGATTTGAAACAATTTATTTTTTTAATGTTTCAAATATCAGAAAAATGCATTTTTCAACAATGGTAGCTTGTTTATTTATGTTGATAGGTTTTTAACACCTCCATGGCATTCAATGATGGACAGATTTTTAACCTTGAAAAAAATAATTGAGGAATATAACGTGAACACCTTTTAAATCACAATTTCCCAGCCTTTTTCTCAACCAGTGCCCATTTCTATTAAAAATGCCAATGATTAAAATCCTCAAAAAAAAAATCTTTTATTTGATAGCTTATCTCAATGTTTTCAATGCAATGACTGATTTTGGTGCTTACTGGTTAAGTCTCTTTACTCTAGGTTCATTTGATAGCTTATCTCAATGTTTTCAATTCCATGGTTGACTTTGGTGCTTACTCTTGGAAGTAATCATAAATCACTTTGTTTCATAATTTGCAGGCGGTTTGTTTAGTAGTAAGTAGCTCTGTAACTGTGTTGAAACCACATTCAGCTATATAGGAAGTTGAAAAAGCAACGAAGAAAAGTTTGATAGCTTTCCACAACACATTCAGAAATTTCCTTTTGTAGCCAATATTGAATAATTTTTGAAAATCTGAAAAAAATGGATACATGCCCACTGACACCTGAGTATGTTCACCACCCGCAAATGAAATAAAAAAACCTGTCACCTTTCAACATCGCCCACTTTGGGAAATGCTGTTTTCAATACTCAGTAATCTTGAAAATTTAAGAACATAGTCTCCATAATCTAATGTTTTATGATATATGATAAGTAAATATAATTT